GCTCGCGGGCTACGAAAACTGGAAACCCTTAACCGAAATTTCGACGCGCGATTACCGAGAGTCCCGCGAGAATCACGCTGGTGAAAGACGCTGCGCACGGAAAGACTTGGGCAAGGTTGATGGGCTTGCCTGATCGTTTACGTGTAACCGGCCTGGTGTTGGTTGATTCGCAGGATCAGACCGAGTCGGCGGCCATCCTGAAGATCAAGGAGAGCATGCAGGAGGAGGCGAAGAGGTTTGAGAAGGACTCAGACCATCCCGATTATTTCATACAATAACTCTTTACGAGTCGTTGGACCCCGAGACCAAATTAACAATATAAGAGATAAACGCAATCGATTTCCTTTCTTCCTTTAGTCCGAGAAGGATTATCTCCATCCTCTCCTCCCTCCCCCTCCCCCTCCCCTCCCCGTCTTCTCCTCGTCCCTTCGCCGTGGAAACCACTCTTCAGCCTCGTACGTTTCCTATTCATCCCTTTCTCGGGATGAAACCTTTGCTGCACCTCACCACGTATAAGATCTTCCTCTCCTCTCTTCTTTCCGAGCCGTCGAACGGCGTAGATCGATCTCCGTGAGGAAGGGCGCATGAGGGGTCTCTTGCGCGCATTGGTGATCCATCCTTTTTGTCGCGCGCTGCTACAAGGAGGACCTACCACGATGTCAGGACGGGAGAGACCTTCGAGACAGAGACAGAGAGAGAGAGAGAGAGAGCATCGATTTCGCGCGACTCTCACGCGTCGACCGACGTTCTCGCACAGCGATGTTGTACAGTATCGAACATTGATAGTGTTGTTATCCTTGAGGTGTGGATACGTCATTCTGAGCGAACGAGTAACGCGGTCGAGCTTACTTAAAATTTCTCGCAACGTGCGGAAATTTCCAGTCGAAGCAAACTCTTATCGGATACTCGAGTAACGATCATTCTCTTTTTTTATCTGCATTCCCTGTATGCGAAGTAAATATTTCTCGAACTTCAGCTGGTTAAAACTCGCATTTACTGTACGTTCGTTACTTGTTCGCTTAGTATATGTTCACTCTTAGGATACAACCGCGAACGTTGTTCCAGTATCTTATTTAGTACATGACGAAAAGAGAGAGAGAGAAAGAGAGAGAGTGTGCGTGTGTGTGATAGTATTATATTAGTGTAAACGTTAAACTTCTGAAATTTTTACGATCAGGATCACGATCGTTTCCAGGATAAGTCCGCGAAATTTTCTAAATGATCTCGATCGCAGTTCTGTACAACAATCTCCATTGAGATCTTTGTTATACAGCCAAGTTCGTACAATCGAGGATTGGTCGTCCAAGTTAATTACGATTAACTTCGTCTGTAGCTTTATTCGATTATAATTTGGGAAGAGCCGGACACTAGCCTGATTATAGCCAGTAAAACTGAAAAATATGTCGTTAATTGAAACCTAGTTCGAGGGTTCGAATCAGATCATTGATCATCGTCATAGAGCCCAAGGACAAGGTCGATCGCGAGTGACGTGAACCACGAGGAGGATTAATCGGCCGAAAAAGAAAAAAGAGAGAAACGAAGAACATTTCGTTATGATGTAGCCATGGATACGTAAAGTCGCCAGTAGTGGCGCAATAAGACGTTTATAAGCACAAGGATGAAAGTTGCGTCGCCCGAACGTGGGAGATCTTTGGTATTCCGTTCACGATCGAGGACCAAATTTACTTCTACTGTACGATAAATATGCGATTATATCATCATGAACCAAAGCAAGCTTATGATGGAAAGGAGGAATGCTTAATTTACATGTGGCCGGTTACAAAGTATTTTGCTAGGACTTGGTACTCTTCCGCGATTATATCCTGTGATGATCATTTACGATCAGTTTCATATCGCACGGTTTAGTTAGTAACTTTGTGTTTAGAAAATAAACTTGAGTATTCGAAGTTGTCTCACGAATTTTCTTTTTTTTTACTGAAAAAAGATTAATTAGTTATGATATGTAAGATATGTATTTCAATTTCAATTTAGTACGTTTAATGTTTATTTTCACCGACCATAAAAGATGGTGATATGATTATGTAGATATCATAATGTTTTCATAATTATGTTGAATAGATATTTTTTATTTTGGACCGGAAGTGGCACTTCGCTTATTTAGTTGATTTATTTATATAACGGTTTTTTGTTTCTAACTTATTATTAAATATTATATTATAATTATTTTATAATTAATAAGTACATTATGATATTCTTCTACAAGTAGTGCAATTCGATTTGTTTGAACGCAATTCTTGCATATGATATTATATAATTTATATTGAATAATAGTGCATATATAGATGGTGTTTTTGGATCTTACAGACACCAAATATTTACGATTTGTGAAAAACATGTCTATTTAAATTAACGAAAGTATTTGTTTTGGGAAAATAATTACGTCTGAGCGATTGTGCTTTGTGGCCGGTAATGAATGATTGTTAGGACGTTCATTGTAACAAGTTTAATAGACAATGATTGGATGCGCGACGTTTTTATATAATTCCAGTTCGTACGTGAGAATGATATGCCGTACATGAGAGAAATTTCTTTAAGATTTACATACGATGCGTTTTCTACTTAAATATATAACATACTCGTTTTACTATGCTAATGTTCTATTGATTCAAATATCTGTAGCACTGAAAAGATCATCGGTCGGATTTCACCGCTGTATCATCGATTGTATACATTTGTTAAGTATCGTTTCAAACGCATCGTTCTTTTCATAAAATCAAAACGCACCCAGTATATCTTCGATAATTTACAGATTAATTTAGCACGCAGATTATTATTTCTTCTTATTTTCTTCGAAAATAAGAGAAAAAAATGGTAATCTCGATCGCTCTCTCTCTAGCGTTGAATTCAGGATATCCTACATGGTATTTTGTATAAAGAATAGAATATGTGAGTTCCATAAGAAGATTTTCTGCGGATCTTCTCTCTGGCCGCTTCATTCATTTAGTCTGTTCTTTCTGGATGCACCTTCTACGCTTTTCCTCTTCCTTTTTTCTCTTTCCAAAGCGTAAACGTATAGTTGCTTCGTTTTAAGTGTAGAAAGCGTGAAAAGAGTTGCAGCTGACAAGAACAGATCTAAATGATCAATCGAAATGTATCGCGACGGAGGAGGATATTAGTAATTTTATTGTCAAGTTACTTTGATCCAATCGAGTAAGATGATGGGCAATGGATCATCGCAATCCCTAGATGGGAGCTGCGCCTTACGTTACATACGTCCTTGTATATGTATATTGCTAAGTTCTTAAATGTATGTATTCGGACTCGATCGTTATTTCGATCCCTCTGCATTCCTTATTTAAGAATATATTTCGGTAGTGATATATGCGAGCGGTGGTTGTAAAAAAAATGAGAGAGAAGAGAAAAACAAGAATTTATCCCGAGGGAAAAGCGCGTCCTTACCAACTCCTTCACTATTTCAAGCAAGAGTGAGTTATCAAGTCACAAACAGACGTGACATGGAAGTTCCTCTTTATAGCGACGATTTTCTCGTGGGATCGAATGAAAATTATAGAAGCTGATAGTGAGGGAGTTGAAGGCCGAAGTTCGAGATAGTGATTGGGTCCTCGTTTATTAGTTTACGTATTCGCGATCGAGAGGGACCGATCCGATATCGATCGCGATCGAAGGGCATGAAGAGAGAAAAAAAAGAGAGAAACTTAGGTATTATAAATCGAGTCGCGCGCGCACACACACAGTTCTTCGCGGATCAGCCGGAGAAATCGGAGCGGGCAGGAGCTCTTGATCGCGCATGGTCGACGATTCGTCGAGAGGGGCGACTTCTTCGACGATGGCGCGCCCGCATATTCGGAGCGGCGTCCACCCTCCCAACCACCCCTCGCGCCCGGCCCCCTCTTCTCCCCTTGTAATTATTTTACACACGCGTAATCATTATAACATACGCGTTCACACACGGGCTGTAAAACTCGCGCGGCAAACCTCACGCATTCTACGGATTCACGCATGATCTATCGATATAATTATAGAAATACCTACTACGAATATAGCATTCAGTAGCATAAATAATAAAGTAATTAAATAAATGTCATCTGTATATCCTACCAAGCCTTGTGTTTTGCGTGCTCCCAATCTTGCGTGACGACGACGGATAATTCATTCTAATGACGAGTTGTTGGCGGATCTTGGATACGAAGATAAGTCACTCTTTGAAGATTTACAGGTAAGTGAAACTGTGTTATGCAGCTACGTAACGAAAATATTATAGTATAAATTCTATAAGAAATATATTCTTTTTTATGTTCTGTTGCAAAAATGAGATCTAACAACATTGTATTTTTCATTAAAACAAAGAAATTATATTTAAACTGCTAATTAATTGTCTAATTTACAATATTAAAATAAACAAATACATGTAATTTTTTTTGTTAAAAATAAAATTACATTTATTCTCTAAAAATACTACAGTTGAATATATAATAATTATCCGAATAATGCCGGTATTATTCTGGAACAGCAAAAACTTTTATAACTTATAATATTTTATTCGCATTTTGAACTCGTATGATTTAGAAAGCGAAACACTCACTAAAGTTTATTGCAATTTATGCAGTTGTTTTCTATTACTGAAACGAGAGTAATAGTTTGTGAACTATTTAGTACGATTACAGACGTTTATTGTACTCTCCAACGTACTTAATACAAATGTATTAGAATGTACAATATTTCTTAAAAAATCGGCTGTCAAATGCTGTCCACTTGCGCCTATTGATACTTACATGATATTTATACGAAACCTATACTTATTGTAAGTGCCTGTCACTCATGATGGAAACTCGCGTGATCGCCATGCAACCGTACTCCTTCGGGTGAAGGGAAAAGGACGAGTACGGAGCGGTGTATCTGAAATATTAATTTTTTTATAATCGATACTTATTGTGGGAATGGAAACACTTTCCAAGAAAAGCTTTCTCGAGAAATTTAGATAACATTGTAGTGCCAAGAAGACAGTTTCTTTATGAAGTATGGAACCCAGCAGGGAACATTATTACGATATTAGTAAAAGATATCTGACATTAATCGGTCAATGGCCTTATCCAAAACCGAAAGAGAGTTTGTTTTTCTTGATCTTTATTCTTATTTTTGATGCCAGTATTCTCGTTACACAGGTAACGTTAACTATCGTCGGATCTTTTTTTCTTTTTCTTTAGAAAATAGAGATTTCGTATCAAATCGGACAATTTGTTTGTAATTAAACTTATACGTGAATGCAACCACATTTTTCAGGCGGCAAGATTTTTCGTATGTGATAACATGCAGTGTATCTTTGAAACTTTACCTACACACTTACTGGCAGCGGTTATTCCAGTGAAAATTTTCACGTATCAATTTAATAGTCAGAAAGTACGTTTTATTATTACGTATGGTATCGACGTTCTATATATTTATAATCTTAAGTTAATCCATAGTTTCAATTCAGTTTCTTTGTAAGATCTTAGACTTTGTTGATGTAACCATTGAAAATGTTGCATCTGTATGTCGAATATATCGGTGATGTTTCTAGATTAAAGATCTTACAGATCGCTTATCTATAGATTGGGATATGCTCGAGACTAAGACAGAACGTGATATTATGAGAAGATATGCCGAAAATGGCAGATGGTACGTGTTAATATACAGCTGTGAGTAATTTCTTGATTTTAGCTCAGATTAAAGAAATTTATTATTTGTTATAACTTGTAACTTATAAGATAATTACACCAGTTAGTGGATTGTTAGTAGCATGATCCAATTATTGGACGAAATGACAAAATTTTAGATATTAAGCCTTTAATAACATGATACGACTAAATAAATTTATTGTTATACAAATTTAATAAAATGAATTTATTTAGAGTCGTATATGTAGATCATTAAAATCTTAAATTTGGTACATAGTAAATCTGACAATTTGATGAGCGATGTGATTCTACTTTTTGACGCAATGTATATATTTAACTCCGGTTTTACTTTATATAAGTTTTTATATTATTATTGTATAAGTTAATATTTTTGATAATCATTTGGCTATTCTTTACATAGCTAATTTGGCATTTGAATAAAGAAGAACGAGCTAAATTGTCGGGAATTACCATTTTGGAATTTGCGTTACTTATGTAATTTAGATTTATATTCTATATTGATAAGGATCCAAATCGAAGGGTTTAAAACGTTTATATTTGATTCGTTTTGTTACATTCACACGAGAATAAAGTGTTTTTTGTGCATCCGAACAGCAGATGTTGGCTTTGATGGGCTTTTTTATTTTTTACTGATAGATTCTTGCCTCATTTTATATATTTGTAAAATCTTAACATTCAAAATTTTTGTCATTTTGTTTAATAATTGGGTCATAGCCATTAACTGGTACATTTATTATATAATTTTAAAAATATGGATAAAAAGAAAAAAATTCTGACGAAAAATCGATGCATTATAAGAAGAAAATGCGAAACAATTTTAGCAATCGAATGTTTATTTAACAAATAAGGAATTTAATTTAGATTTTAACGGGTCGATTCATTTTGTTCTTATTACAGCATATATTTATATATCTACCATTTCATTTACAACAACCTCTCTCATGCCACGCATCTTGGATGTCATATTTCCCTTGAATACTTCTCGTCCTGTAATGATGCCATATCCAGCGTATTATTTCGTTGACGAAAATCGATATTTTTACTACATTTTTCTGCATATGATAATTTGCTCTACTATATCTGTAATTGGCTTAATCGCACACGATTGCATGTTTTTTACTTACATCGAACACATTTGCGGCCTTTTCGCCATCGTTAGGTAATGATTGTTTATACAAAAAGCAAAATTACATTTTTTATACCTTAAAGATAAATAAAATTTTACCAAGAAGTAAATAATAGTTTTAGCTTATGTATACGTTCACTTGGAAGAGACTGAAATTAATTCTCAAAAACTCTTATAACATAACAATGTTATGTTGCATAAATACTTGCAGTTACAGATTTGAGCATGTATCATATGAACGTAGTAATACGGAAAAAAGTATGATTGATTGTTCGGATTACATATATTACAAAAACGTTGTGATTTCGATTCACGTTCATCGAAAGGCCTTGCAGTGAGTACGTAATAATGTCGTAGCTCATTTTTCTTTCATTAATCTCAATGCTAATTAATTAAGATAATCTTTGATAAATTATAATAAGCGGTACTTTTATTTGATTTTTATTCAAATGTTTAAGTCGTCATCAATATCGTATTTTTAGATTTGCTAAACTTCTCGAAGATACTTTCTCGGTATCGTTTGCTGTGCAAATCCTGTTAATTACGATCTGCTTGAGCATTACCTTGGTACAAGTGAGTTACAAATAGATGAATATAAGAATTCCGTAACGCACATAACGCAGAACTAAAACAGGATCTTACCTTCCTCGCGTTCAAGCTCTCGTCTCAGCTGCACGATTCAGCGGAAGCGATGAGATATTTTGTCTTCATTGTGGCTCAATTGCTTCACTTGTTCTGCTTTAGCTTCCAAGGACAAAAATTAATAAATCATAGTCTCGAAACTGGCGACAACATGTAAGAGATTGAATTGGAAGTTAATTAGCTTTATATTACTAATAATATGTATATAAAAAGAAAATACTTGGTCGGTATAAAAGATGTACTTTCTATAGAATTACTTACAAGAATTTTATTTCTCAGAGCGACTTATTATTTATCACATATATTTTTTTATGTATAATGATGATTTTGTACAGATATCATGGCTCGTGGTATAAAATACCTGTAAAGGAGCAGCGATTGCTCTTGTTCGTGATGAGAAAAAGCATCGAAGCTTGTGCCTTGACCGCCGGCAAAATATATGTGTTTTCGCTAGAAAATTTTACAACGGTAAAACAATGACAAATATTAGAGGAAGGTCACCGATACCGACGTACCACTTTGTTTTTAGACAATATTTCTTAAACAAAAGGTAAAAATACAATTTCAAAAACATAAATACAAAGTAAAAAGTGTCTTCTATCAGAAAGTATAAGCAATTTTTATAATACTGTTTGCAATTTTGCAATAATTAAGTTTTTCTTAAGTTATGCAAAAATAAGCGTCTGACAAAATGGGCTCCAAAATTGACATAGTAGGCAATAATACCAACATTCCTATTCTATAAATAAAGATATATCTTATTCTGTAAAGAAAACAAATTTATGAAACTATAAACATTTAAAATGACATAATATTATCAATAATACAGTCACTATTATTTTAATTGCGCAATTTGCAAAAGAACATCGTAAGCATTTTCTTCTCGGATTCATAGAATTGGTTTTTAGCTCATTTGGTATAGAAATAAGCCACAAATATATGAATTATGAATTTGAACTTCTTTAATTAGCTAAACAGATCATGATTTTATTAATATTAATAAAGTGCAATAGTTAGTTTCTGAGAAATAAGGGGGTGTCACTTTAGGAGACCTATGTCAGTATCGGCGACTTTCCTCTACTAAAATACATAGATTAAGTCAAATAATTAAATACGTAGATTAAAAAAGACATATAAAATCTTTAAACGTTCTCATTAGATCGTGCAAAGTTCGATGTCGTACTTTACATTACTGTCATCCTTTAACGTGTCATAATCGATACCTGACGATTAAAGCAGCATGTAGTGAAATATCCATGAAAAAAAGTTTCGCAGAAGTATAATATTACAAATTATATATTGAATAAAATAATATATATATTTGCTATTATTTATTGGGCTTAAATTATTAAAATTTTATTTTGTTGTCGATACCAGTAAAAAAGATTGTCGTTTCGATTTTTTACACAGCCTTACATGCATATTTCCGTATAAAAAAAAAATTAAAAAGGAAGAGCATATCGCCATTCGTTCTATTTATTTCCGCAAGAGGATGGAGGGTGAATATTGCACGTGGGAGACACTCGTCGATATTGCTCGTAGCAGTATTGAATGTAGCAATTACGTAATAATCTACAAGGCACATATGTATGACAGTCATCATAGTTTTTATCTTGCAGCTAAATATACAGACGTACAGTGTCACAGGAACTCTTATTTCCTTCATGGACATCCCGATCGATATGTTTCTGGGAAAAAATCACCTCGTTCATCGACAGGCAACCATTTGTGTCCACTTTTTACGAGACATAGAAGATTGCTACGTTAAAGGTTTCTGCATATGTAATATATTCCCTTTTAATATACGCCTGATAAAATATTGATTCATTTCTCATAACAAGACGAGAAATTTAGTTGACTGCGTGCCGCCGAAGGCGAAATACTGTTTTGAAAATTATGGAATCGGCGCAGAAATATTATGGGATTAGTGTTACAAAAAAATTGCTGTTACTCGCCGGCCAATGGCCTTATCAAGAAAAGAGAACGAGATTGTTCCGAATGAGCTTATTGACTGTAGCCGTTGTTTCGCTGATCGCTCCACAGGTTCCACAGAAATTTTTCGTACCCAAGCAGAACAACAAATTATAACATCAAAATGATGTTAAAATGACTCCAAAATGATCACTAAAAGTCACTTTTCAATTATTTAATATTTACTTTAACGTAATTTTGACTGTTGTTCTACCTGGATAACATTTCTACCACGTATTCATATTAGTCCTAATCTAATAATCAATAGAATGCATAAAAAAGTTAATTAAAGTGCGATATACAATGTTGTCTATATCTGTTAAACTCGCTTTGGACGACGTAAATTCAGGATAGAATTTTGTTTACAATACTTTTAAGACTTTCGTGGATATTTTTTTTAAAGAAGCTATTTGGTTTGCGGGTTATCTTTGTGTCTTGATACATCGTTAAATACCATCGTTTCAGTATTCTGATGTAGTATCAGGATTCTCTCTCTAATGAAGTGAACTTCAATGTTTACGTAACGTTGGCATTTAATGATGTATCAAACCACGGAGATAATCCGCATACCGCGCAGCTCTTTCTTGAATTCTGTTTATGACTTCATGAAATCAATATGTATATCTAAATATATCTATATATCTAATAAATCCATATAAAGTATATAAAATGCACTTTGAAGTGCACTTTAAAGTGGCACACACCCAAGGAACATATAATCAAGTCAAGAGAAAGTCAAAACGATGATTTTTTATTACAAAATTTGGTTGTTTATTGACATTAAGAATCAAATCCTTGGGTAAAATTATAAATAAATGACATAGAAAATCTATAATGTAAGTAAATAGAATTTTATTCTGTGAAAATGGTCGTAAATTATATAATTTAAAATGAGAATTAAAATTGATATCTTTTAAGGTGTGCTGTAATAACGATATTTTTAGGTGGCCAAACTTATTCAATGCGACGGAAATACGCGATGTATTCTATTAATAATACCAGCGCTTATGTTGATGATTATGATTCTGGTGAAACTGTACACGTGCCACTTTAACAGAAGCAAAGTATGCCAGTACCAAAATTTATACTATATAATTGCTCAAAAAATAATTATTCGAATTTTTATTATTATTCGCGATCGCGGTCTTTTACGATCGTCGGTGAATTGTCCGATGAGATTTAACATTTATTGAGTGTTTCTAGATAAAAATTCTCACTGATCACCTGATTAGCGACTGGGAAAAGTTGAAAGGCGCGGAGGAGTACGAAATTATGAAAACTTATGCCGCGAACGCGAGATTGCTTTCTTTGGCATATTGCTGTAAGGATAAATCGTTCGATTATTCTCATTTTTATTTTGACTGATAATGGACAATTATTTTGTTTTGTTACAGTATATTATTACATAGTTTCCAGTACGTTTATATCAATTAGCCTTATACCGCCCATAATGAATGTCATATTACCTCTTAATGAATCCCGACCCATATTTATGCCTTATGAGGCTTATTACTACGTAGACGGCGAAAAATATTTCTTCTATATTTTCTTCCACGCTCTCGTTAGCTTAGAGATATCTGTAACAGCGATAGTCGCGCACGATTGCATGCTTCTGGTTTACATCGAACACGTTTGCAGCATCTTCGCTGTGGCTGGGTAAGATGTGGGGTGCTTTCCATTTAGTGATACAAATCGACAAAAGCATCGTTCTGTCTTTCTTAACATTCAGTGAGTAACAAAGATAGAACGATATCTTTAGATAATAGAACTTCTGTCGACTTGTGCCACCAAATGGAAAGCACCCCATCGCTCATAAAATGCTATTTCTCTACTACTCTCTTAATCGCATCTAATTGAGGGAGCAGAATTATCGTCTATTTTAGATTTCGATTTGGGACTTTATCACGTAATGATCAAGACGCAATGAATAAAAGTCTGGACGACGTATACGATCAGAAGATCGCAGACTCTGTATACGCACACCGGCGAGCTTTACGGTGAGATTGTAATATTTAATTCAAACATGTACATTGTGTCCGCTAAAGTTGAGAATAACTTACATAGTATGTTAATAAGATCGAGTGCATATAAATTGTATTCGAAAATGCTTTATTAAAAAATTATAAACTTTTAATTTACGAGCAGAATGCATTTATCACTATTTATAGTACAATAAGTATAGTCGAAAGAGTTCAATAGTCATTCGATGAATGATTCGACAAATGGAAGCCTGCATTCTTTCAGAAGAGAGAGAGAGAGAGAGAGAGAGAGAGAGAGAATTTTTTAACATTTATATTTATTTAATTAATTATTTACTGATAATATTAGTTGTTACAATAGTTACAATAAATGTTAAAAAATGTTCTAAATTATAAATCTTTAGGGGTACCCTTTAAAAAAAAAAAAACAAGTAATTACCCAGACAGCATGTTAATGTTCTTTGAATGTTCGTCGAATGTTATAATCGTAACTGGAATAACTGTTATTTAAGTGTTAGGAGTTCGCCATTACAACACGCCATACTTTTTCATGGCATCAAGCATCGTGAATTTGCTATTCGTCAAAAACGCAAGCTCACGATGCTTGATGCCATGAAAAAGTATGGCGTGTTGTAATGGCTGCGTTCGGGCAGCGCGCTATTAATGCTATTTGTGTCATACTATCCTTGTTTCACGTTTAATGGACGATGAAGACAGAATGACACAAATAGCGCTAATAGCGTCTCCCCGAACCCAATATCAGATTGGACGCATTGCCACAATGCCATACAGACACGCCAATGGGGATAAGAAGGGCGGGAGCAAATTTTTGCAAAGCACATAAATGCATATGCATATAAGAAATTTCATTGACCCATTTTCTTATATGTATGCGTTAATGAACTAATAAAATTCTCTATCAATAAGACATGACAAAAGCATAAAAGCCAACGCTAGTTATTATTGCGAATGTTTTCATCAATTATTACATCAATACACTGAGAAAAATGGTAATTCTCTATCAATAAGACATGACAAAAGCATAAAAGCCAACGCTAGTTATTATTGCGAATGTTTTCATCAATTATTACATCAATATATATACGTTTCGACCCTCATCAGGTCATCTTCAGTAAAATTTAAAAAGAAATAAACGTATTTTCTGGTTATGTCTATTAGAATTCTAGTTGAGACAACTAGAATTCTGATTAATATAATTATTCTGGTAAAAATAAGAATTCTAGTAGATTTTGCCAGAAATATAGTATCAACCAGAATTCCGGTTATCTCAACAATTTCAAAAGAATTCTAATGAATTTAACCAGAAATTTCTGATTCGTCCATTTTCAACCAAAAATTTTTTTCAATGTATATATACGTTTCGACTCTCATCAGGTCATCTTCAGTAAAATTTAAAAAGAAATAAACATTAGTAGGATCTCCTTCCTTAATTTCCTAACATTATCTTAAACGCGCGCTAACAAATTCGTAACTGTTCGCCGCAAAACTTAAAACGGCGAAAACCATGCTTAGGAACTCCTTAGACGTTCGAAGAACTCCATAACGTCTTCCTGTATTTCCACTCCTCCACATTTATTCATTATACATATTTATTCCAGTCGTCGTCCAATTCTAATATTTCCAATACTCTCCATATGTTCATTATTATGAAATCAATTCTCTCGCTTAAGTAATAGTCGTGGTCAACTATTGTATGGAAGTCACAAATTCCATACGTTTCGACCACAACTATCCTCCAATGTTCTTTTATACAAAATTGTCAAATGTATGAAACTAAGTATAGAATCACACGATGTTCACAGCACAACAGTTAGCTTATATATCCAAAATTCTTTATATATATAAATTGTTATGCAAAAGTCTGTGCTACAGCGGCGCCTTTAACACAATAAGTCATATGTATGCGCATGTGTGCGCCCAGCCAGAACCCGGCTCACAATTCCCTTAAGTAAGAAAATTAGATGATTTGATAATTTTTTCCTGTACCGATCACTGCTGACATCTACTCCTGTAAGCGTTAAGGCTTAAACACAATAGACACAGGCAACAGGGAATGACGAACCATCCAATCAGAGCTCTGGGATATAATATCGAACTTACACACCAGAGCTCTGATTGGCTCGTTATTCCCTATTGCCTGTGCCTATTGTCTGTGCCTATTGTATTTAAGCCTTTACTCCGAGACCGGAAACGAAGCAGACAGCGACGCCGCGCTCACGCACGCCACTTATGAGAGCGCAATGCGATAAAACTACCCTCGAACACGGCCCTCGCACCACGAGTTGCTCAAAATCTTCCGCATAAGATATATCCAGGGAATGGAAAGTTACTTTTTAAAAGTAACAAGTTACTCGTTACCGAGTAGGAAAAGTAACAAGTTACCGATTTTTAAAAGTAAAATCGTTAGAGTTACCGTTACTTGAGAAAGTTACTTTTCGTTACTTTTCCGTTACTTTTTTTTAAATCGACGACCAACAATCACAGCGGACAGGCTTAGAGGCTTCTCTAGTCTCAAGCGCATTGTAAAAAATTGTGTAAAATTACAACTATTATGCTGGATAATTTTGAGATCCACTATGATAGTTGTAAACGTCCACATGTTTGTAAATTTGCAATATGCAAATAAAAATAATTTCATGGTTCGGAACTAAGCAGATTGTGGAAGTACAATTACAATGTGTATGTGTAGCTACAGGAACGATAATATGACAATACATTTCGCACTATATATTATTATACATTTAACAACAATACGCGAAAAATTTCTTTTATATTACGTAATATTACTAAAATTTGGATAATTACAGAAAATATTCAAAATATCCTGCTATAATTTCCAATATAAAATAAGATATATTTACACAATAAAAACAAATTTACATAATTTTTGTGGAATTACATAATTTCTGTAAAATTGCATGATTTTTTATATTTACAGAACTAATCATGTAATCTATTTTACATTCATTATATGTGTAAATTTACGAAATTTTTTTACAGTGTAAGTGGCTTGTGTCGTATCGTGTCCAATCATGTGCAAAGTAACGATAAAAGTAACTGTAAAATTCGTTACCGTTACCAAAAAAATGTAACTTTGTTACCGTTACAGTTACCAAAGAAAAAAAAGTAACGTAGTTACTAGTAAAGTTACCAAAAAAGTAACTTGTAACTGTAACTTCGTTACAAGTAACGAGTTCCTTCCATTCCTTGCGTATATCTCTACTCGTCACTTTTATACGTATTTAACAAGTTCTGTTATACGTTCGTGCTGCCAATCATTATACTTCGGTTTGCATTTGTTCATAGTTAAATAAAGTCAGTGATCGTGTGCATATAACGTGACTGTTTATTTAACTTAATTTCTTCTCTTACGTGCCTAGCGTACTATTCCTATACTAAATCCTCATTATTTCCTGACATCTTCATTATAATCTTACAAATAAGAAGTAAGATAATTCCTATCATAATTCCTTTCAACATTAAGGAAAGAGATTTAAGTCACATAGCATTCTTTACATTTCCTTCTCATCATTTTTTATTAGGTGTTAAACTTAATTCCTGCCATTTTTCGTCTCCAAAATTGATTTGTTTCGAAGGGAAGATGAATGAATACCTCAATCAAAGTAATTTCCTCCATTTTCTATTTTATTACTAATTAATAATACTTTATTAATAATACTTTGATTAAGGTATTTCCCTTCGAAACAAATCAATTTTGGAGACAAAAAACGGCAGGAATTAAGTTTAACACCTAATACTTCTCCGGTCCTGATAAATAAATACCATCTTCTTGTCCATTCTTAATATTTTTCTACTTTCTGTTTTTTAGAACAATTCGGACCTCGTACCTTAATTTTGTCTATATGATATAAGTATTTAAGCAAAATGTTCCGAAAGCATTCGCATCAAACAAATAATGACAACGGCAAAGTAGTATCTCATATAGCACAAAATTTGCAGTAATATCGCTGCAACATCTCTGCAATATTGCTGCAACATGCAACTTTTGTGCAACTTTGTGCTGTAAGAGATTATACTTTCAACGTTCGTTCTACGTTTGGATCCTACTCGTTGAACTTAGAATTTTTCGGAATATTAGCTAACTGTTTGGAATCAAACAGTAAACATGTTTAATGAACATTCAACGAACATTAGCATGCTGCCTGGGTAATGATGTATATCACAACGTTTATTTACTGTAGGTTTGCGGAGCTCCTTGAAAATACCTTCTACGTTGCTTTCGGCATACAAATAATGATAGTTACCGTTACAATGAGCATTTCCTTGCTACAAGTACGTGTCTATTTGTTGCAATTCAACTTGTGATACTCGCACTTTTTGAGATAGATCGTGTCACGTTATCACTCGCATTTGCATGCTTAATACCAGGAGAGATTAAAATATTGTATTTATCGCCTTCGAGATTGCGATGCAAATAGACGAAATTGCGGAAACGATGAGGTACACGGCATTCGTCATTAGTCAACTGGTTCACTTGTTCTGCTACAGTCTGCAAGGCCAGAAATTGATAGATCACAGCTTACAAATGCGCAACAAGATGTAAGATGACAATTTGATTTTTATAAATTATTATAAATGGAAATTAAACCTATGAGAATAAATCAATTAATAGAAATAATCCTACTTTAATAATTTTGATTTTATAATATTAAATTAAAACTCGATGATTTTTGAGACACAAAATTGCAGATATAATTCTTCCTGGTACAATATACCCGCGAAATCACAAAGATTGCTTCTGTACGTGATGCGAAGAAGCATGCAACCGAATTTTTTGAGTGCCGGCAAGATTTATGTCTTTTCTCTGAAGAGCTTCACCACGGTAAAAATTATTTTCGCACGTTACATTTTATTACGACGTTCTTTTGAAATTTTTAAAGTCTAAAAATGCTTCTCTTTTAAAGGTTGTACAGTCTTCTGTGTCGTATTTTACTGTACTTGCGTCTTTCCAGTAATTAATGATACAATATGTAATTCGGATAGTATCATTGTGCATTGTGCAATCACAATTATATTATAGTAATAAATATTGTGCGGTTAAAATAATACATTTTTGATCATGTAAGCGAGTTACTTACACTATTAAACATCGTTGTTAAATATAATTTAAAATCTCAATGTTTTACAGTCACAAGTTATGAAGAAATATTTAATATGCACAAATTGAAGAAATCGGTAAGAAACCACGATATTTATTTTAAATGTTGATAACGTTTAGTTTCCGTTTGTATATTTCGTTAAGTATAAATTATTACGTAAAGTAATGGATTTTCGTTAAAAAAATATATTTCATTTATATCTAAAGTATACAATATATGGTAACGTTTGAATAAAAAGAAATAAACTTTAATTATCTTGCAACATATAAGATTTCCTCTTGTTCTTTTTTTTCCGAGCCGTCGAATTGCGTAGATCGATTTTCATGAGAAGAACACGTGAGATTCCTCCTACACTCCTTGTGCAATATTTAGAATAGAAACATCTTTATTTTATAGTTTTATAATGTATTAAGTATTTTTTAAAATAAGGTATGCAAAGGGAAATTTTTATGAAAATTACTTTTTCAAAATATTGTTGACGTGATTAAATAAAGGCATTTTTACTGTGTTGTATTATGTGGCATAGACGGCATGACCTTGAAATGACCCTTACGAGCTGCATACAAATAACGTAAAAAATTTCAAATGGAACTCGTCAGTTTTTGTTACAGATTCGTGTAGCTGATGTCGAAACGTTTACAAAACACTGCATATGAGCCCCATTCCCTTAAAAACACTCCCAGTTAAGAAACAATTGTTATTTGTATGTAAGAAACAATTACGTTATTTGTATGCAGCTCGTAAGGGTCATTTCAAGGTCATGCCGTCTATGCCACATAATACATCTTTTCATACCATAAAAATTATGTCTAAGACATTTTGTCGAAAAATGAATAGTTTCGGAAATAATTGTTTGCTTCCATACTTTTTCCCCACCCTGTATAATGAAACATTTTTTATATCCTGGTTATTTTTGGAGATATACCTATGTGGCGACTCGCCACTAGAGGTCCACGGGACTCACTCGGTTCGCGTGAGCACCGCAGCCACGCGAATTCCCTTTAAATAGAAACATTCGTTCTGGATTCATTCTAGGCGTCTAAGGCAAGTTCCACATTACATCGCCTTACTGATGAGTCTAGTAGTGTGAAACCAGGACGAAACGCTGCGGCCGACCACAAAGCTTCGAGTCAGGCCTCCTTAGTGGACATCCAAGCTTGTACGCATGAAGAGAGTGACAATCGATTTAATTATAAAAATATCTATTAGAAGAAAACGACATTCAGTGGCATACTAAAATAATCAAATAAATAACATCTATACATTTATCACGTACCAAGTTTTGCGTTTTGCGTGCTTCCATTTTCGCGTGTTGTCAGTAATAAATTAAATTGGCAAGCCACCATGTAACACTTCTCCATATATGATCGAAAAAATAAAACTACACTCGTCAAAGTTTAATATTGTCGATTTCTATCTGTCGCGAATAGTAGCTCGAGGACTTGAACTATTCAGTAAGAGTTAAAAATATACTTATCGTATTCTCCAGCATATTCGTATCTTCGTAATTCAGACAGTAGAGAATTTCTCAAAGTCAGCTATCAAACGCTGTCCACTCACGCCTATCATTAGTACTTATGTTATACTTCTGCGAGATGTATACCTATCGCTCGCGTTATGCAATTATGCGATCATGGAAAGAACATGAATGTATAGAACAGTAGCTAAAATATTGATTTATTTATAAGTGACACTTGTCATGAAAAAAAGCTCTTTCGAGGAAAGCTTCGAAATTCACGACACAATTCATGACTACTTCTTTGTGAAGTATGGAACATAGTAGAGATTATTATTACGATATCAGTAAGTGGTATCTGATGTTAGTTGGCCAATGGCCTTATCAGAAGTTAAAAGAGAGTTTGTCTTTCTTGATTTTTATACTTTTTCTTGATGCTTCTGCACTTGTCACACAGGTAACGTAAACATAATCGAGATCTTTATTTCAGAAAAGAAAAAAATTAATGTAACAGAAGTTTATTAATATTCCGCGCCGATTCGAGTAATCTCTTTGTTAATTAAAATTACAAATGGATATAATCGCATTTTTTAGATAGCAAAATTTGTCGTGTGCGATAACGCGCAGTGTATTTATGAAACTTTACCACCACATATGCTGACAGTGATGATTCTAGTGAAAATTTTCACGTATCAATTTAACAGCCGAAAAGTATGTTCAATTAATATGAATGGTGTCGACATTTCTAGTTCTAAGCCACAGACACGAATAGTTCCTTTGCAAAAGAGATCCTCTTGACGAAATTTTATATATTTGTTGAGAATATTGCATCTGAAGTATCGAGTATATCGCTGATGTTTGTAGATTAAAGATCTCACAGATCGCTTATTCGTAGACTGGGATATGCTCGAAACTGTGGAAGAACACAACATTATGAGAAAGTATGCTCGAAACGGCAGATGGTACGCGCTCATATATGGCTGTATGTAATTACTTGATTTTAATTAAGAAATGGAAGAAAAATTTATTTCCTTATGCAATTAAAGAATAAAGATAATATATTTTCTTTTACACTTGGGTATAGTGTTTAAATTAATTAAAAACATTAAGTTAATTAAAATATTCCAAGGTAATTGCAAGGAAGAGATCAATTCTTTATCAATGTATAATATCAAAGTATAAAAGATGTATATTGCATAGAAAAGAACTTTTATTTTTGTCTGGAAAAAATTCTTGAAACAGTTAACGCGAGCTGAAAATATTTGAATGTACAATTTTATTTTGTTTATACAATAAAAAATATTCAGAGACAATCTGCCAAACATTTTACTTGACAGAATAGCAACATGTATTGAATAGGTATTAAGGGGGGAAAGTTCTGACGAAATATTACACACATATTTATAAAAATAAAATACTTTCAGCATTATAATTCTTAATTAAAAAATAATTCTTTAAAATCTCATTTTGATAAATTGTGTTTTCGTTTTTTTACAGCGTATGTTTATGTGTCTACCATTTCATTTACAACAACCTCGCTCGTGCCACGCATTTTGGATATTGTATTTCCATTGAATACTTCCCGTCCTGTAATGTTAGCATATCCGGCATACTATTTCGTTGACGAAAATCAATATTTCTACTATATTTTTCTCCATATGTTATTTACCAGCAGCGTGTGTATGACCGGATTAATCGCGCACGATAGCATGTTTTTTATTTACACCGAACACATCTGCGGCCTTTTCGCCGTCGTTGGGTAATGATTATTTATACTGAAAGGAAGATCACATCTCTTCTAGTTAGAAGATAAATAAAATTCTCTGTACCGAGGAGTAAATATAACGTAATAATAGTTTTAGCTTTTGTGTATGTTACTTGGAAGAGAGCAGAAGTTAATTTTCAAAAACTCTCTAATAATGTTGTTTTGTGCAAATACTTGCAGATTTAGATTTGAAAATGTGTCACATAAACGTAGTAATATGGAAAAAAGTCTAATCGATTGTCTGGATGATGGGTATCACAGAAATGTTGTTTTTTCGATTCGCACTCATCGAAAAGCTTTACGGTGAGTGTGTGTAACAATATTATAACACATTTTTCTTTTAATCTCGATGCTATTTAACTAGAATGATCTTTGATAATCTATGCTTTTGTTTGATTTTTATTTAGACATTTAGGATGCGTTCCGAGAGTGCGTTTTCAGTGCATTTCCTTATTTTTCAATAAGTGATAAAGACAGAAAGATGTATTGCGCTTTTGGAACACAGCCTTTTGTCACAGAATTTTTTCTTAGAATTTACCCTAAAAATATGACAGATGTGGGACAACATTGTATTTCGAAGAATTTTAATGTAAATCTCTTTCACTAATAAAACTATAATAAAGTATAAAATAAGTTTGATCAATTTTACTAAAGTGCATGGTAAAAATCTTTAAAATATTATATTGTACCATAACTACCATATTTTCAGGGTAAATTTTAAAAGAAAATTCTCTCCGTGATAGTAGACTTCGGATTCTTATGCAATTTCGTATTTTTTTAGCAAGCAAATTGGAAAGTAATATAAAAATAGAAATTTGTCTTATTGAAAAAGCATTCTAAAAATGCATATTGTGCATATTTGCATATTTGTGCAAATTTGCATATTTTATGCATGTTTGCAAAAAATATCTGCATAAAAATCCGATGTCTAGTCATTAGTATCGCATTCTTACTCTAGGTTTGCAAAACTTCTCGAAGACACCTTTTCGATATCGTTCGCTGTGCAACTCTTGATCGTTACAATTGGCTTGAGCATTACCTTAGTACAAGTGAGTGTTAGTTACGTATATAAATAGACAAATACTAGAATTCTGTGATATAATAAAAAACTAAAATAAGATCTTATATTTCTCGCATTCAAGCTGTCGATGCAGTTACATGACTTAGCAGAAGCAATGAGATACTTCGTTTTCATTATTGCTCAATTGTTTCACTTGTTCTGCTTAAGCTTCCAAGGACAAAAGCTGATAAGTCATAGCCTCGAAACTTGCGACAAAATGTAAGAAGCAATATTAATTCGAGGATACTCGCATGGAGTATTTTTAAATTCAATGACAAAAAATTATGAATTTAGAAAATAATTATGAATGGTTGTATTTTATAGATATTTAAGATATTTTTTTTTACAACATTTATTCTTTACGAATCTTTAAATATACAATTTCTTTGAAATCCACAATAAAAGAAGTTATATTCATTATAATCTTCATTTTTTTTTAAAATAAATTCATAATAAGCCACTTAACGTACTTATTCCGTTTAACATTTGTTTTTTCTATTTATATCTTTATGAAATTGTGATACAGGCTGCGGTCCACTTACCGCTTCAAACGCTACACAGAACATTTGTAGCACTGACATGACTGGTCCATTTGATGCTTCGGAACGCTCCTAGTAACTCTGATTAATATGTCATCAATACGTCATCGTTTTTGCTCCCACTTCGCTCCAACTGTCTCACCTCGGGAGGTTGGTTGGAGCGTTCACGTAGCAATTGCAGCATTCGAAATAGTAATGGACCAATCGGAGCGTAGCGTTTAGAGCGTAACGTTCAGAGCATTTGGAAGAAGCAAATGGACCGCAACCTAAATCTATATTTATAATCTATTCTTCTAAAATACTAAATAAAAAAAACAATCAGTAATATACACAATATGTTGTTAATAATAATAATTTTATAATTTTATTTGGAATATAAAAACACTTTATGTGGTTGTTTACGTAAAAATATTACGTGACTATTTCAAGTTAAATAAAAAATGAATTAACTGTTTGATTAATATTGTGTGAACATAAAGAAATATTTATAAAAATTCCCTGCAATCAATAGATTATATTCTTATTTATCATTTTGTAAATATAATAGTAGTAATGATAGTATAATTTGATAGATTTCGGGGTTCGTGGTTTACAATACCAGTGAAGGAACAAAGATTGCTCTTGTTCGTGATGAGGAAAAGTATCGAAGCTACTGTCTTAACCGCCGGAAAGATATACGTATTTTCTCTAGAAAATTTTACAGCGGTAAAACAATAAATATAACAAACGTTGTAAAAATATGCAAATAAAAAAATATATAAAATCTTATTTTTATTTAGGTCGTGCAAAGTTCGATGTCGTACTTTACGTTACTATCGTCCTTTAACGTGTCGTGATCGATACCCAACGATTATGACAGCATGTAGTAAAATCCCTGAAACGTTCCACAGTAATATAATATTACAATTTGTACAATGAATAGAATAATGTTTATATTTGCTATTATTTAAAATAAAATAAAAATAATACAATTTTATTTCTCTATCGATAATTTCTGAATAACCAGAAAGTTTTCTCTATCGATCTTCCTCGAAAGCTTAAAATACTCACTATGTAGGAGTATGCAGAAGTATACAAAAGCCAATAGAAATACTACTAGTAGAATATTTTGTAGTGTCATTTTATTTTGATCGATACGTGCTTTCCGGAGGGAATTTGTAAAACAAGCCATTTTTATTAATGGAGCTATATTGTCGAAGGAGCATATATTACCTATGTTCGTAAAATCCATTAGAGCAGAAATCCGGATGGAACATTGCGCGATATGCACAAAGTTGTGTTGTAATAGTTATTTATGTCTATGTTACTTTCCAAAAAAGATTTTTTTATTTATATCTCATATTGAAGGATGAGCACAAATTAAAAATTAGATAAAAAAGTACGAAATTAGTTGTCTTTGTATTATTGAAGATACTACACTGTAATTGTAAGTGTTATCGAAACCAACAGCAATCATCATGACATCGTCTATAGTATTATTGCTTATCGACACGGAACTGTATCAGAAACTGGAAACAATGACATTCTGCGTTGCCCTAGTAAATATAGTCTCGCAGGTAAATACATGTACTGTCCGAAAGAAAACTGTTCAGTGCAATTCAATGTGATTCTAAACGTCTATCGTATGTTCCAACGCGTACTCAATACACTCGTAATTCCAATCATATTTCTGAAAGGATCAACTGTTCATTTGCATCACCTGTTATATTTATATGAAACGTATACTTAGCGAAAGTGTGTGCCTGTCAGTTAAGAAAAGCCACATGATCGTTTTAAAATCGTGCACCCCAACAATGAGAAGAGAACGCGCGTGCCGCGGAGAGGAGGATCTGAAATATTAATTTACTTATAACCAACCCTTATTGCGGGAAAAAATACTTTCAGAGAAGTTTCGAAATTCAGACGATATTACAGTGCCGAGGAGACCGTTTTATGAAGTATGGGAACCAGGAGAAGTTATTATTACGATATCAATAAAAAGTACCTCATGTTAATCGGTCAGTGGCCTTATCAGAAGCCGAAAGAGAAGCTATTTTACTTTACGTTTATAATAACACTTGCATTCTCTTCAATCGTTCCACAGGTAATATTAATTGTTGTCAAGAAGTTTTTTTAAGAGAGGAAAGAAACGGTAGAAATTTATTAAAATTCTGCGCTGATTAAGATTCCAAATCGCTCATCACGAATCTTCAGATTGATGAAGTCAGAAGCAAATATATAATGAAAATTCTTGCAAAATAGATTAAAATAGAAATATAATATTTTTCAAATAAACAATATTTTCATTTGATAGAATACACTTGTAAAATGTATCGAAAATTCCTATCTCGGAATAGAATGAAATCATGTTTATTTCAATTCGACAGCTGTCATACAGCTTGTTTCATTTTCTGGCATAATTTAATTTCGAATATTATTGATTGATTACTGGAATATTAGAAGAGTTTTTGGTATATTTTGCAAACCTATTTTACTGCAAATATTATTTTATTACAAAATATTCACATTTTAATTAAATTTGCAAGAACTTTTTTTATGTATTTTTCTCGCTTCTGAAGTCACAATTAACAAGATGATTGCAATGAGTACATAATTAAAGTATTATAATAATTCTAAAATAATAAAACAATCTAGATGTTACACAAGGGTATATGAGCAATAACCAGATGACAGTTGTTAAAATATAATATTTCAAATAAAATAAAATAAAACATACGTTTTGACCAGAAGATTCGGTCATTATCAATGTTGTTAGATATAAATAAATTCATTTTATTTTTTGTAACTAAATTAATTTTATTAATTATTTGTTTCGGATTTTAAATTGCGTACTATTATTTTATTTTTTGTAACTAAATTAATTAGATGTAATTATAGTCGTTTTTAGTATAACTTGCGTATATAACCGTTAGGATGTATAATCTTATATTTATTTATATTTAACAACATTGATAATGACCGAATCTTCTAGTCGAAACGTATATTTTATTTTATTTTATGTTATTTGAAATATATATATATATATATTTTATATATTTAGTTTTTCTAAAATAATACTTTTATTCTTCTTTCTTCACGTGAATGCGTTTGCAGGGGGCAAAATTTGGCGTGTGCGAAACCGCGCAGTGTATCTACGAAACTTTACCTCCATATATGTTAGCAATGATGGTTTTATGGAAAATTTTCACGTATCATTTTAACAGCGAAAAAGTACGTTTTATTAAATGGCATTGGTATTCTACTCGTAAAGTTACGAAAAAATAGCTGCGTTGCAAAATCTTATGCTCGTATTCATAGCCAGGCCTTATATTTAAGACTTCCTTAAATTTATCTTCGGATACTCTACGAGAATTATATCATTGGCTACTGAGCATCTAAAGATAAATTTAAGGAAGATCTGACTATGAATACGGGCATTAGACTTTGTTGACGATGTTGTTATAATTATTGACAATAGGTCTGTTTTTTATTGCTGCACTTTCTGAACTGGTACACACAGTACAATAAGTTGAAATGAAACAAATATACGTTTGTTTCACTTCAGGTTATTGCACCGGTTCAGAGTGTAGTAATAAAAAACAGACCTAATATTACATTCGAACACATATTGCTGATGTTTCTAGATTAAAGATCTCACAGATCACTTATTCGTAGACTGGGATATTCTCGAAACTAAGGAAGAACACGACATTATGAGAAAGTATGCCGAGAAAGGCAGATGGTACGCGCTGATATACGGATGTAAGTAATAGCTTGATTTTAGTTGAGAATGAACGAAATTTATTCTTTTTGTGTGTAATTAAAAAATTAAAATAAAATAATACTTTCATTACATTCGGATGTTGTTTAAATTAAATAAAAATAGAAATAGAAATATTTTTCAAACTAGTTACAAAAAAAAAACAATAAAATTTAACTGACGTTATTTCAATGTACAAGAAAAGTCGCACAAGGAAAAAACTTTTTTTTCTAGAGAAAATCTCCAGTCACAAATCAAGAAAAATATATTTAAAAGAATAATTTTATTTCGTTAAAATAATTAAGATATTTTGTCACACAAACTTTTCTGTCAAATATTTGACAAAAGAAACATTTATAAACGTTATATATAGACTAAATAAGAATTTTAAAAGAGAAAAATTCTGAAGAAGAAATATAGACACACTTATAAAAATAAAATATAAAATACTTCTTAACGGAATGAAATCTTTAATTAAAAAATAATTTTAATAGAGACGTTCGTTTTTACAAATTTTGTCCTTGTTGCAGCATTTGTTTACATGTCTATCACTACGTTTGCAACAACCACTCTCGTGCCACGCGTTTTGGATGTAGTATTTCCATTGAATACTTCCCGTTCTGTAATGTTACCGTATCCAGCGTACTATTTCGTTGACGAAAATCAATATTTCAACTATATTTTTCTCCATATGTTACTTACCAGCAACGTATGTATGACCGGATTAATCGCGCACGATAGCATGTTCTTTGTTTACGTCGAACACATCTGCGGCCTTTTCGCTGTTGTTGGGTAATTATTTTTTTTTTTCTAAAAGCGGGATCACATTTCTCTTATAGTTAGAAAACATAAAATTCTCTGTATCTAAAAGTAAATATAATATAACAATAGTTTCTAGCTCTCTTATGTATTCGCTTGGAAGAGACAGAAAATAATTTGCAAAAACTCTCATAACAATGTTTTGCGTAAAAACTTACAGATTTAGATTTGAGCACGTGTCACATAAACATAGTGCTATGGAAAAAAGTATCATTAATTATCCGGATGCTATGTATCACAAAAACGTCTTGATATCGATTTCCGTTCATCGAAAAGCTTTGCAGTGAGTATGTAAACGATTATAGCATATATTTCTCTCATTGCTTGCATTCAGCGGAGAAAGCAGCAGCTGTTGCAAAATTCGTTAATATGATTGATCTGGTCTTTAGTTCTTTACTGAATCTAAATGTATAAAACAATTATATTAAAGAATGTTACAAAATTTAAGGAGCAGACTTTCAAAATGCGTTTTGTTCAAAATTTATAATTTTCAAAAAATGAGAAAGAAAGCCACATGGAAACCACGCATCTTGCAAAAAAATAACAATTTGCCAGTCAGTAAGATGTAATATGTTAAACAAAATTGCTAAACATTTTTTAATAATATTAAACAAATGTATTTTGTTTGTCTCTAATTAAAGGACATAACGCACATCAAGATTTTGTCAGTATACAATATTAATAACTTGACGCTGAAAAAATGCTTTTTGAACATTCCAAAGTAGCTTATAATGTGTCTTTCATTATTGAACATTACGCCATTTCTAATTCAAAAAATGGTATTTTGAACAAAATTTTGAAAGTCTGCTCTTCAAAGCTATAGCTTTGAAAATATATTTTCTCTGTTGAACGCAACCATTAATATTGATGCTAATTAACAAATGATCTTTATTAGACCATGACAAGTTGCGATGCTCTTACTTGATTTTTATTTAGATATTTAGTCATTATTATATCCTTATCATAGATTCGTTCAATTTCTTGAGAGTACCTTTACGATATCGTTGGCTGTGCAACTTCTGTTAGTTACAATTGGCTTGAGTATTACTTTAGTACAAGTGAGTGATTTACTAATAGATAGCAAATACGAAAATTTTATAATGTTAACAAAGGATTAAAACAAGACTTTATCTTTTTCGTATTCAAGTTCTCGATACAGCTGCACGATTTAGCGGAAGCGACGAGGTACTTTGTTTTCATTTTTGCTCAATTATTCCACCTGTTCTGCTTCAGCTTCCAAGGACAAAAAGTGATAGATTATAGTCTCGAAATTTGTGACAAGATGTAAGAGACAGTATTAAGTTGAAAATAAATTGATCGATATGAAGGATATATTTTCTATAAAAACTATTACAAGCAATTTTAATCATTTGCAATCAACTTCTATTGCGCTTATTTTGTATGTACAATGGTAATTTTATAGATATCATAGCTCGTGGTATACTATACCCGTAAAGGAACAAAGATTGCTCATGTTCGTGTTGAGAAAAAGTATCGAGGCTAGTGTCTTGTCCGCCGGCAAGATATACATATTTTCTCTAGAAAGTTTCACGACGGTAAAACAATTAACGCGAAAAGCGCTATAAAAATATATAAATATAAAAATATACATAGAAAGATACATGAAACCTTATTTTCATTTAGGTCGTGCAAAGCTCGATGTCGTACTTTACGTTACTGTCGTCCTTTGACGTGTCGTGATCGATATCCGACGATTATAGCAGCATGTAGTAAAATATCCCTGAAATGTTCCACAGGAGTATACTATTACAGATAATAGATCGAATAAAATAATGTTTATATTTGCTATTATGTAATGAAACAAAAGTAATAAAATTTTATTTTGCTATCGATATTGCTAAGCGACTAAAAAGCTTTTCCTTCCGTTTTTTTTTTTTGCGGAGGCCTCGAATATTCACGACACTTACTTAAGAGTCTATCTCTATCAATAGAGAATACTCATTTTATCGCACTATTTCATTCTCATCGATAAGTAAATACACTCCGGAGGGAACATGCAAAACGAGCTGCTCGTTATTGAGGGACTACATTATTGTCAAAGAATTAAATACCTGTTCCCATAAATTCTATGTCTGGTCATTGATTGATATGACATGCAACAAAGTTATTTCATGAGAATCGACTACATGTACAGCAGTTTTAGCGCAAGGGGATATCATTTTAATTGTGTCTGACATCAAAGGGTGAGCGATCAGCCGTACGAAAGTTCGAAATTAATCGCCTTTGCCATGGCGAAAACGCGGTATCTTAAGAATTATGAAGACCTGGAGGCATTACTATAAATAAAAGTTAAAAAGGAGCATACAGCCAATACGCCGGTTATTTGTTGCAATATAATATATTTAAAATGATCTTTACAGAATTAAAATTCAAACGTTTCGGCCGATATTCGGCCTTTATCAGTATGTTCTAAAATACAATTTTTAAATCGGGGAAATTATATAAAATAAAATTTAAATTTAAATATTATGAGAGAAAAAATATCAGTCATTTATAATATATGATGGTTTAATATAAAAAGTTGAATGTATCGTAAAAGTTCTTGTAAATTAGTTGATTTTGTGTGACTGTTAATATTAGTCCGTTATCAATTGCAAGACCTCGTGTCGTAAAAAATTTCTAAGTTCTTTACTCGTACGTGATAGGAGTTACAATTATTCACTGGCAGTTTTACAGTCTTTATATTTTAATTTTAAATTATTAAGAATGGAAGAAACTTTCTAGAACAACATTACTTGTTAAAAGAATTTTTGTGTTTGAACTCTGTCGTTAATCTGATCCTACGTCCGCGATGATAAAGTGTGTATTATAGATGTTAAAATAAAATTCCATATTGGATGTTATAAAGCGTAAAATATTCACATGCATCTCAGATTCAAAGTTAAATTCTACAAAAATAGTCAGAACAACAAGTATATTAAAATAATGTCAAATATATCAAGATAATACCTAATATATGTAAATATAATTAGTATATTAGTAATTAGTATATTAGTATATTAGTATGTTAGTATATTAGTATATTAGTACATGTATTTAGTATATGTAAATATAATTAAAAATATTTGATGATTTGATATATCAAGATTTGATATCTCTTTCCATTCAATGGTGTAATGGGAGAGAGAATGAGAGGGAGAGTGGCCGTCTCCCACGGTCCCTCTCTCTCATTATTGTCGACCACATTTGATACACTACTTGGATCGCGCAGTCCATGCTCTATGTCTTTGGTATGAGGATCCGGGCTAAGTGTTATATGCTCCATAGTTTTCCCACAAATATTTTCTCTCGTTTCCAGCTTATTCCATTATATGGCAGTGAGCAGTAGTGGGCGCTCAAGTTATGCTTTACACATTACTTTGTGCTAAACTGCTTCCTTTTTCCATAATCTTTTTCTCTAAACAGCATTCCAACTGCGGAATTAAAAAAATGTTTTCAAATATTTATAACATAGATTTATGAAGAATACTGATGTCATAGAAGACCACTTTAAAAGATAAAATATAACATAGTATTCGGAGAGAGCTGTACTATTTCATTGCCACAGTGTGGGAACTTTATTGTAAGACTATGTATACCTACATCAATTTTAGTGTCAATCTTTCCAGAGTCTCAAACTGATGCTACTATTTGCGGAGTTAGTTATAATTTATACATATATGACTTGAAACAATTTCAGATATTAGTTACTCCATACAACTTTATATAGTACTAATGTATTTTTGTAAATATAAACAGTAACTTTAGTTTAATGTATTTTTGTATAGAAAAATTTATAAAGTAGAATTTACTTATCCTCGATACTCGTTTCGTAGCGGTACTGGACATTGAATAACAATGTATAGTATGATAACTACATATGATAGATACAATATGTATATCTGGCATGGTTAACTACACGTAAACACATCTTGTCAGAGAAATTTTTATTTCCTTGAGCATTCCAATCGATACGTTTTGCGTGGAAGAAAGTTACCCTAACCCCCCCCGTTGATAAGTTATTCAGAGAAATTTTTATTTCCTTGAGCATTCCAATCGATACGTTTTGCGTGGAAGAAAGTTACCCCAACCCCCCGTTGATAAGTTATACCTTTCACGTTCACCTTTTATCAAGCGAGACACGCAAAATTGCTGTCAAGGGTTTCCATCGCATACATAGTATTTTTCTCTATTACACCTGCTAAAATATTAATTCGTTCCTCATATCAAAGACGAGACGGGACGAGAAGTTTAGTCAATTGCGTGTTGCCAAAGGTAAAACGTTACTTTTAAAATTATGGCACTTGTGTGGAAAGATTACTACAGTATTACAAAAAGATTGTTGTTACTCTCCGGTCTGTGGCCTCATCAGGAAAAACGAACGAGCCTTTTTCGAGTGAGCTCATTGACTCTGATCATTTTTTCGCTGATTGCTCCACAGGTTTCTCATAATATTTTTACAATTCGTTACACTAGATATAAATCTGATGATAAAAAGGTTACATAAAAAAAATAACTGAAGTACGCAGTGTGTACATAATGTATCTGTATCTGTTACGCTCGCTTTGTAGACGATATATAACTCCACAAAATTAAGGATAGATTCTTTTTATTATTTAATGAAACGAATAAAAAATTTATATTAAAATGCACGCATATCCAAATGCACGGCATATAAAATTAAAAATAGAAAATTTTTAGAAAATTTTTTCTGCGAAACACTACACCATAAATTCTTTAAAGTTACTTTTAATAAGAATACTTCCAGGTGGCCCAATTTTTTCATTGCGATGGAAACGCGCGATGTATTAAACTGACTATACCAATGTTTATGTTGATGGTTACATTACTGGCGAAACTATATACATTCCAATTTAACAGAAGCAAAGTATACTAATACCGAAATTTATATTAAATATTTAATCGAAAATTATTCAAATTTTTGTTATCCTTTGCGATCTCGATCGTCTTCGATCGTTGAACTGTCCGATATAATTCAACATTTATCGAAGATGTTTTTAGATTAAAAGTCTTACTGACCAACTGTGTGACGATTGGAAGAAGTTGAATAGCGCGGAGGAATATGAAATTATGAAAAAGTATGCCACGAACGCAAGATTGATTACTGTGGTATATTTGAGTAAGGATAAATCGATCTGTATTCTTTTGATTTTAACGAATGATGAACAATTATTTCGTTTTGTTACAGTATATATTTTTTTTTGCTCTTGGTTGTTTACATTAATTTCCTTCATGCCAAAATTATTGAACATCATATTATCCCTCAACGAATCCTTGCCTATAAGTATGCCTTACAAGGCTTATTACTTCGTGGACGAAGAAAAATATTATTTCTACATTTTATTTCATATCTTTGTGTTCACGTCTATAGCTATTATGGCGGAAGTCGCGCACGATTGCACTTTTTTTATTTACATTGAACATGTCTGCAGTCTCTTTGCTGTGGCTGGGTAAGAAAAACTAACATTTCTTTACGTTGATTCTATCACGACTGATCGGGAGAACTGAACTGCTGCTTAAATGTTTACAGATTTCGTCTTGAGACTGTATCACTTAATGACCGTAACAATGCGAATAATCGTCTAGATCGGAAGATCTACAATCGGAAAATCGCTATCTCTATTCATGCACACTGGCGAGCTATACGGTGAGTACACAATTTTGTACTAAGTAGAACGTTATACATTTAAAGAAAAAGAGAGAGGAAATTATACCGAATTATAAGTACTACAAAATTTGTTTCCAATTGGACAGATTCGCGGAGATTCTTGAAGACATCTTTTGTATTGCTTTCGCAGTACAAATGCTGATAGTTACTATAACATTGAGCATTACTCTGCTACAAGTACGTATCTACCCAGTAAACATTAAGTCGTCTTTAAGATGACTAAAAGACGTCATAAAATTCTGTAGGACGTCCGAAAAATTGTACTAAAAGACATTTTTAAGACATCTTTAAGATGTCTTATGTCTGTCTTTTAGTAGCCTTATTACACGTCTGATGTCATGTTAGACATATTTTAAACAATTTGGTTTGGATATTTTTCAGACATTCCCTATAATGGTCTATAAGACGCCTTTGAGACATTCTATAATGTCATTGTTCAGACATTTTTTGGACTAATTTTAGACATTGCAGTTTTTATGGGTTAAATTAGGTTATATTGGCAGAGTTTCGATATACACCGCCAGTACTATGAAATCTATAATATACATAACGTGAACTGTAGATTTAAAAAAATCAGGGTATCAATTGTGTATCTCGAAACAAGATGAAAATTACAAAAGTGAGTAAATTTATTAGAATATTAATATTTTAGTAAATTTATTCACTTTTGTAATTTTTTAATCTTGTTTCACGATATACAACAATCGAAACCCTGTATTTCACATTACGTATACAAATTTCAGTATAATCGACAGTGACTGTGTTTCAAAATTTACTGCCAGTTCTTAAAATTTATAGTGCACGTGATGTAAACTATAGATTGTCAGTATTGGTAGTAAATTTTACAACCACAGTGTATATCAGAACATGGCCATTTATTTAATATTTATAAAATAGTATATACATGTTACTTACATTCATTTATTTCTTATTCGAACAAGGTTCTACAAAAAAGCGCACAAAATATTTCGGACTTGGATTATGTAAAATAAAAATCTCAAGAAATTTTTATTTATAAACAATTAAAAGAAAATCAAACATAACAATTTGTATTTTTTTTATAAATGACTTTAACATTAATGAAACGCAAACGGTTTTTTAAAATAACGTGTTAAATTAATTTTTTTTTAATTTATTATTTTTCATTAATGTTAAAATTATTTACAAAAAAAATTTTTTGTTTGTATTGTTCGTAAGTTTTTCTCCCATAGATGAATTTATATTCGAGTCATCATCTTGATATAAAAGTCTCGATCTCCATAAGTTTCATTGAATAATAGAAAATGAATATTTATTAATCACAATATTTCGCATAAAAGAAAATATTTCTATTTACTTATGTATCCAATAATAATCAATTAATCTCCAAAAAGTGTGCAAAATTTATCGATATTGTGAGATATAGCCTCTACATTATCAGGAATTTCATGCTGATAACATACAAGATGGTCACCATCGATAATGCCCGAGTTTCACCCATACAATTTCCTCGTACAGAGGTAATCTTTCCATTTTGCAATCTTCCACCACCAGATGTATTTATACCTAAATTACCAAAAATATATAAATAATTTATTTGTAAATATTGTGCTTTGTATTAATTAACCGTAATGTAAATTCACCTAGACATTCCAAGTGAGAGAAAATTGGACAAGTATCACAAACGAAACTTTCACGTATATATATATAAGAAACACGACGCCGCGTTTATAGAGGATGTGATGCTTTGTAATGTTTCGGGCATATAATTTGACTAGTCATCAGAATTATTGAATCAGCAGACATACATAATGTCGATGCGTGATAAGATGAAGGACAATGGACATATCGAGCTATTTTTTCGTTCAGACTTTTAGAAATAATCTCAAATTTATAAATGCACGTTTTCTTGTAAAATATGAAATACTTGTAAAAATTATTATAGAAAATATATGCAGACGTTTATAGTAATTAACATATTTTATATAATATTCTTTTAATACAACAAAGAATTATTACCTCGGATTAAAGTTGATTAAACATGCAGTCACCACCAGAAAATCGAAAAATATGACATAGCTATATATGAATAGCTACGCAATTAAAAAGAGACACCAGATACCGATAAAACCGGAAATTACTCATTATTCTTATGCGCGATTACGAACTCATTATTATTCGGGTACGTGACATATGCTGATTTACGAATTATTATAAAACAATGTCTTATTCTTGTTCTGAAAAATGTCTTAAACAGGTATGTCCAAAAGACATCTTAAAAAAGATGCCTTTATAGAATATGACTAAAAGTCGTCTTCAAGATGTCAATTAGAAAAGTCTTAAAGAAGTTTTAAAAAGAACATGTCTAAAAGACATCTTTTAGATAAGTCATATAAAATGTCTCTTTTAAGACGTCTTTTGAATTATCTTTTAGACATGCGTGTTTACTGGGCATCTATTTGTTATTACAATTCAACTTAGTATCTACATATTTCATGCGATGTTATTTGTCGTTTGTGTTGAATTACTCGCTTATATAATTAAGAGCACTGTGCAACGTTTTTAAACTTTTTTCATGTTTCTTGATATGTAATTCTGTTAGGCTTTTCAAGTAGACAATTACGAAATTGTAATTAAAAATGCACTAGCATATCATAGACTTTCGAATAAAACCGGACGAAAATTTAAAAAATATTTATGTGTTTTAATCATTTTAATCATGCGACTTCGTGCGATATAATCAATCCTTTCATTGAAATAGAATATAAACTATAGACAATTTTAATTAATGACTTCATATAACCGCGCTATATTTAAATAATTAACTATTATGTAACCGATTACGACCCTTTTAAATTAATTTTTATTTTCAATTGTTTTATGTTTTACACTGAGGATGATATGATAAAGGTCGAAACATTTGTATGTTAAATGTTTATATCGATTGAATTGAAGATAGATTAATCGTTAGCAATTAACAACTATAAGCATTGATTCGTAGCCTTTCCCCGTTCACAATTTCACTTTTTAGAAAATATTGTCCTTTGGTCATTTCTGAAATTGTCTAAAAAAAAAAACGAAACGAATTAAAAATTCATTACTATCGAAAAACACTTGTTATTTACTGTAAAACAAAATTCTTGTTGTACAGTGTGTATAGTAAATAAAGAGAATAAAATATCGTATTCGTCGTGTTTAAGGTTGCGTTACTGCAAGGTGAAATTAATGAAACGTTCAAGTACCTGGCGTTTATCTTTGCTCAGGTGATACACACGTTCTGCTTCAGTATACAAGGACAGAGATTGATTGACCACAGCTCGCAATTAAGCGATAAAATGTAAGACTTTAATCACTTAAAATCGGTAAAATCGAAAATTGTTGTTGACGACTGAGATTCAAAGTTATTGTAGATACAATTCCTCCTGGTATGAAATACCTGCGGAATTACGAAGGCTGCTTCTCTTCGTGATGCGAAGGAGCATGCAACCCAGTTTTTTGAACGCCGGCAAGATTTATGTCTTCTCTTTGAAGAGCTTTACCACGGTAAACATTATTTAGGCAACTTATATGTTGTTTCATGTTTCTTTGAAGTCTCTCTTAAGAATACTGGCATTTATTTTAAAGGTAATGCAGTCTTCGGTTTCGTATTTTACCGTACTTGCATCCTTCCAATGATCAATGGTCAATATGTAATTTGGATAGTATCTGTACAACCACAATAATATTATAGTAATAGAGATCGTGCAGTGGAAATAATATTTACATTATACACATTAATTTTATATTTTTAATCTCATTTTTAATCTCATTTTTACACGGAAGTTACAAACTATAAGAAGATATAAGCAAAAATAAAAATGGAAAAATGGGTAAAAAATGCTATTTATTTTAAGTACTGTTCATTTTTAAAAGAAGAATATTAGGTAGGAAGATATTGGGCAGGTAATAGTTTTTTAGTTATGAACTGGATTAGATTTGCATCTAAAGTATATAATACGTAATAACGTCGTTAGCGTAAGTTGCAAAAATAATTGGATTCAAATCTTTAACTGATAAAATTCGATTTAATGTTACGCCAAAATCATGGCAAGCATGTCATATGAGATCACAGAAGCTAATCGTGATGGTGATGATGAAGAGTGTACAACCGAGTTTTTCAAGCACCGACGAGATCTATGTCTATATACTGTCTGGGGAATTCCACAACGTTAATATGCGCAAAATTATCGTGTGTTTGTCATAGTATTTCTTTTACGAAACATAATGATCTTGTTTTGAAGATTTTGCAAACGTTGATGCCATACTTTACGGTGCTCTCATTCCTTTAGTAGCTATTTATTTGTGCATCTGACGATATTTTCCGGTGGCATTTGTCGAAAAAAACAATACCGCGTGTCTTTAATTCTCCTAATATAATTAAACACTCCTAATTCCAATGTTTATCGTTAATTCTTTATCAAAATTATACATAAATTGACTGGTGTTATGTGTATCTTGAATATTTAATATTTCGTATAAACACAGACTTGTTAAAAAATTTTAGAAGCTTTTCCAAGTGAGTTCGGTTTCGCTGATTGTTCCACAGGTTTTGGAGAAGTTCCTCATAAAAAATTTTTTACTAGGTATATGTATATGTATATATATATTCACTATACTAGTTTTAAATCTGATCGTCAATAGAATACATAGAAAAATTAATTAAAATACGCAATGTATACGTATCTATTAAGCTCGCGGGTGGACTTCCAAAGACCTGAAGCTCCGATTTTCTTGTCAGTTGGAATACAACTGTAGTTTGGTGCGTTAATTACGAATAAAACGTTGAAAATTGGTGATAAGATCATTTTGAATGTCAAATGTGAAAAAATGTTAAAAAATTCGGTTTTCCAAATTTGACTTTTACATCGAAAATGACTTCGTCGGTAATTTTCATGATCATATTCGTAATCAGCGCATCAAAATATAATTGTACATCAATTGACAAGAAAACCGGAGTTTTCAGGTTTTCGGAAGGAGGTTTATCCAAGCTCGGCCTATAGACGATATACAATTGAGAATAATATTCCTTTTCATGAATAATATAAAAAAAATGTATAATGAAATACATCCGTATCAGAATACGCTGCACAAAAAATTAAAAATAGAATTTTACCTTGAGAAACTGCGTCATAAATTGTTTAAATAGAGTTTTAATGAATATACTTCTAGATGGCCCAAATATTTCATTGCAATGAAAACGCGAAATGTATTCAACTGATCATATCGGTGTTTATGTTGAGGGTTATATGTCTTTATTGCACAGTTTATAGAATTGTCTAGCGTACTCGTATGAATTCATATTGAAATATTTAGGTTGATAAGATCAATTATGGTCGATTATAGGATTTTATTTACTTAATTGATGGAATAAAAATTTATTTATCTTATTATAAAAATGTTTTTAAAAGATTTATAGCATATACATATGCATACATTTATTATTTCTTGGTAAAGTTTATTTATAAGCATGTCAAATCAGGAACAAAAATCTTTTAAACATAAAATTAATATTTCCTGTAATTACTCAAAATTCCTGTAAAAATTCAAATATTTTGTATTATTTTTAATATTATTACTAATAAACGCGATGCTGCAAAAATTTTGTACAGAATTTATGATAAAAATTATATCATAGAATGTGAACTAACTGTTTACTAACTCTATAGTGAACTAACTCTATGATTTAGATATATTGTACATGTTGCATTACATGAAAAATAAATGTTCATTAAAAATACATTCCTTTTTAAAATTATCTTTTCCCCAGCCTTTTCACCATTCTTTCTTCATACCTTTTGAACTAGTTGATAAGAAAGCGTACTTGGCTACTCGTGTCTTATACTATTAAAATATTATTAAAATTGCATATCATTTTATTGTTAAATAGTATGATAAAAATCGTTGAATGAAAATATCATATAATTACTTAATAAAATATCTTTAATGCGTGCGATAAAAAAAAAGAAAACGTGAGAGTTGGAAAAAAGTGAGGAAGAAAGAATGCAACGGGAGGAAGAGAGAGCGTGAATAATAAGTATAGAATTGCAACAGGTTGGAGAGAGAGCGAACTGCATCCATAATAGAAGAGTGAGATAGGCCAACGGGTGAAGGAGAGAAGAAACGAACCCCTTTTCTCTTCTAACACGACCCCTATGACGCGCTTACTGTTCCCAGCGTCGGTAACTTCAATCACTCAACCCGCGCGCCATCTGCTGGTTGCTGTATCCGTGAGTTACAATTGTAGCGATAAAGCCTTGTGTCCACGATGCTAGAAATCGGTCCGAGACCTCGGATGAAGAAAGAATTGACCAATCGCAATGGTCATGTGATCAAATTGTTCAAATGCGATTTGTTAATTTTTTCTCTGTCCGAGATCTCGGACCGATTTCTAGTATCGTGGACGTTGGGCTTAATAGGGAGTTTTTGCAATAACGTGAATTCAGATACGGTGAACGCTAAAGCCATGTTATCCTTTTCTTAATTAGTTGTTGAGAAGAAGATAACCTGACCTTAACGTTCACCGTATCTGGATAAACGGTATTGCAAAAACTCCCTAATACCACACACCCTCAGGTACTGTCGACGTGATGGCACTACAAAAGAATAGGACGAGTAAGGATGAGATTTCATTTGTGCGTTTTTATCGTACGACAAATGTGTGCAGGATAGAGAGTCCTCGGATCTCTCTATCCTATAGCCAATTAGCAGGCTTGAAAAATTTGCCGTACGACAAAAACGCACAAATGAAATCCCACACTAATTGGGTACGGTAATATTACAATTCTTTACGGAATAGAAAAATCCAATGTACGATTTGTTCGTACATTACATACAACATATTACCATTAAAAATTCACCTGTTTCATGTTCATAAAATATTTTATGTTGAAGACCCTGATTGCAGAAACGGTCCGATATAGGGTTATTTCACAGAAGAAGAAAGATACACTTTAAAACGTAAGATTTGTGATACATCTCTTTTGAGTAGATATCTTGTACATTAATTAAAGAGGCATCTGAAATTTCAACTTCCACAAGTAATAGACGAAATACAAAAAGATTTTGAACATACTTGAGTATCGGCACATTTCATATCAAACACATCAAATGATAAACTACAATGCAAGATCTGTTCTTACTCGTTCAATGTTCTACGAAATGATATAGATTATTATAGATGATTTAGCGTGCCATTTGGTCAAGCATGCCTTAAAGACTAAAAAAAATACTGGCAATAATAATATATAAAAAGATAGGAAAAATAAAAGTTGGGTACGGCAACATTTTAATAAAATTTAGAATAATAGGGCACAATGTAACATTTGCCATAAAAATTTTTCGTGCAAAAGTACCGACATTCTGAGAGTACATTTATTTTATGCTAATCAAATATGTCCTGACAAAGAAATAACCAAACAAAATAACCAAAGTGGCGTAATATGGCAATATTTCAAAAAAGAAGGAAGACATGCTTCAAAATGTAACATTTGTAACTATTTCCTTACACATGGATCTCACGCAACCCAATTAAAGCTACATATGAAACGAAAACATCCATTAATAATCGAAAAAATACGAAACAAATTTAAGTATTCGTGGATATCGGAAAATTTCGTATTGAATACATCAAATGACATAGTACAATGCAAGATTTGTTATAAGAAGTTTGACATATTTAAAGAAAAAGTGGGTGATTTTTAGCGAACCACTTGTCTCAACATGGAATAAATCAAAAACTACTGAAGGAAATGACATGAATACTAATCAATCAGAAGAAAATAACGAGTAACTTCTCATCAGATTGATAGACATATTCGCATTTGAAAAAACAAAAAAAATGACAACGGTAAATATTACAAATGCTTACTTTTCCTCTTTTAGTCTGTGGTCCCCTTTAGTATGCACTCATGTATAACGAACACATAAGAAATCATACATTTAGTATTTGTTTCTCATAAAGAATAATTATTTGACTCTGATATTTATAATGTGTTTTTTAAATTTCATCAATATTTTAGTTAAGTAGTTCCATTTAGTCAATATTAAGGTTAAATAATTCGAATTTACTATAATATACTTAATACTTGAATATTTAATAACTAATGGCTGTTCAGGCAATTTATCTATTGGAGTAATTTTAGAGTCAAGCATTTTTTATTTCCACAGTATTTGATACTAAACATTCCATTCTTTAAATATTTTAATAATAAGGATCCCAGCTTTGATGCGATTATAAAATAATGTACTTTAGTGAGAAATTTAACTTTGTAGTACTAATCACATTTGTATATTCCAACTTTTTAATCTATTGTTTATTTCGTGTGTATTTGCAGATTCACTTTTGAATAGGATACATCAGAGATTCCGGTCGATTTTGAAAACGATGTGTGAAGTATCAGCAGTCTTAACTGGTTGTTAATTGGAACCGTTAAATTGCCACATTTGACGTATCAAATATCAACTTTCTAATAAGTATCCTGTTTATTAATTGTACTATTAACAATTTTTTATGTTAATTA